CAGGGCTATTGCCTAGCGGAAAACACTCCGATAAATTTTTTTTATTGAGAGACAGGTCGATTTTTTATATTAAGAATCGTCATCTGAAGAAGTCTAACAATGCTGGATACACGGCCATTTAAAGGTGTGAAATTTAATACCAAAAAATTAGCAATACTTAGCCCTACTCACTTTGAAAAGTTTTGAAGTCACACAAAAACCTCAGAATTGTCTGCTGTTACACAGCACAACTGTGAGAAAATCCATCGATGGGTAGCTGTACATGCCATGAAAAAGATAAAAATTTTAAAACGCCGCTCTTAATAGGGACATCGTCTATCCATACGAATCCATTCTTAACTGTCTTCATAGATATTATCTTTTCCGATCGACGCAGATCGAATGTCTTCGTCCAGCATCACCAGCAGCGACTACGAGTACATCGATGAGACATCAATCGATTCCGAGTTGATATGCACCATTTGTAATTCACCACTTCAGGATCCACAATGTACGCGATGCGACCATATATTTTGTTCTCAATGCATCATACAATGGATTCAACGTAACAACGGCGTATCATCATGTCCCTCGTGCCGAGAGCCCCTTTCACTCAATGAGCTGACACAAGCTAGTCGCACTGTGCGAAATATGCTCGACAAACTACGAATCAAATGTACAAAGTGTGGCCAAACAGGATTGCAGCGATGTGATTATTTTGCTAATCACATCAAGACAAGTTGTCCTAAGGCTGAGACGCCTTGTTCGGCATCAGATATTCTGTGCCCTTGGGTTGGGCCACGGGATGAGCTCAGCACTCATTTGGTCATATGTCATTTTGAACCGCTTCGACCAGTGCTCGTTTCATTGATCACTCAAAATGATCAACTCAAAAGACAAGTAGCAGAACAGAAAACTCAAATCAACAGTTATGAGAAAGAATTTCAAAAATTGAACGGCGAACGAGAGCAGCAACTAACTCTAATTGCCCAACATCGAGTCAAAAATCGACGTCGAAAAGAGGAACCAGCATGTATCAATCAAAGATACAGTCAGCTTGAAGCGCATGCTATACAAGTCACACCTGCAGGTAAGTGAAGTATGGTTTGATCAAAACGACTTATTTGAAATAAAAAAACCTGTAGAGGTAGTCCACTGATACAGCTTATTCTGAAGAAGACTATCAAGATGTTTGTCGCTTTCTATCTAAAGTACGAATCTGCACTTTCGTTCTTTCTTATAGACATAGCAGAACCACTGGCAACGCAATTTTCCAAGAGCAGTACATGTGACAGATGTCAACAAAATGGGAAATGTGGTCTTTTTCGTCTTGGTTCTGGTGTTCTTTGTACTTGTCGTTGTCATCATAAGAAATAAAACGCTTTGCTCTCTATATTCTGATCGCCTGTGTGGTTACATTCACTTGACGATGATAGTAGAAGGTGAGCATAGTATGATAGAGTGCGGGCATTCCTTGCCAGCATATATGCGATCTTTGACGTTTCCGAACTGGCAGTCTCCCCGTAAGACTGTCCTTTGGACGAAGACGAATAACATTGAAAATAATGTTATTCGGTCCTTCATGAAAAGATGTGTTTATGACTTTGAAGAAACAATTTGTTACAGCGTTCTTGATAGTGTTACTTTAGTGAATCGAATTGTCATCTTGTAACGATGATAAATTGAATAAAACCATCTGATAAAGTCCTTAAACAAGGCCGAAACCGGTCATGGTTGCTTATTCTTATAATAATTGGCTCAAAAGAATCCAAAACTTTAAAAATAACAGTAACCAGGAAACATCATCTGTCTCGAGAAGCGAGGGTAAAGAGATCCACGATCTTCATGATCCTTGTAATTATCGCTACACTGTTTCACATGATCGATAAGCTTTTGACTTGAAGAGAAATGGAGACATGAAATGTTCATTAATAATGGGAATATGGCAAGACTGAATTATCAGGCATAGAGATCTCATAGGAAATCTTAAAGAAAGATGGCCATGTTGCGGGTATGTGGGTGTGGGTGTGCGCGGGTGTGGATATGGATGTGTGGGTATCGGTGTGTGGGATCTTGGTATGTGTATGTGTGTATTGATATTGTTGTTGAGAGTAGTCTTGGCACACCCACAGCGATCCACACCCGTTCGGTACTAACTGATGTCCTTAGCTGGTGACAAAGTGTTACGGGTCATGAATCAATGCGTTGGAAGAACAGTATAGAGATTTGAGGGAGCTGATCAGTGCTTTGCGGTGGCTGCAAGCATGTGGACTTGGGTGCAAATGGGTGCGAGGGTTAGAGGATGGTATTTATATTTGTTGCGTGTGGATGATCCGTGTGTGAGTTTTGGTGTGAGTGTAAATGGAGATGCTCGGATAGGCTAAGTTATGCATGTATGGTGTCTATGCGATCGATTGTCTATACTATGAATGTGTCTGCGGAGTATGGTTTGTTCCAGTGGGTGTGCTTCGTTGTTTTTCTCACCTAACGCGCTAATATGTGTCCTCATCTGGCCCCCATTCACTGATATAGTTAACATCATACAGAAATATGTTTATGGTTTTTTTGGTATAGTCAAAATGATGCTCGTTGCACGAATATAAATTTTTGACTTGGCAGCTTTCACGAATAGTATTCTGATCAGCTTGAGTGTTTTACTTTTGATAAGTGCAATCGTTCTCAACATTTTTCGTTGTTGAAACACATCCATATAAAATAATAAAAGAGGACGTGCGATAGATGAGGAAAGCAACTGGCTACTATCTGTCACAAGTAATAAACGAATCCTTTGACAAACACAAGAAACGACATTACATACATAATAGAACTTAAGTCGACTGCAGCCCTTGGCTGTAACTTTTACTATTATTTGATTAAAATTATTGAACTCTAGTAAGTTATATATAACGACAGTTTGAAAAGTAAAACTGAGTCTTTTAAAAGTGACATACGTAGCGCTAATATGATGCGAATATTGAAAATGATTGACATCGATTCAAAATTGAATTTCATGGCCAGTGTTGCTTGGGTCGATGAATTTGTCTATTCATATCAGTTAGGAATTCCATTAATTCATATTTCCGCATCTTTGCTTTTTCTCCTATGTTGTTCATGTTCTATAGGATGTGGGTGTGAATATGAACGGTTGTGGGTAGGATGGGGTGTGGACGTCGGTGCAGGTGTTGGTATGGGTGTCAATGTTCGTCATGTGTTGAACGACATTCTCATCCACATCCTCGATTGAAAAGGGGCGTGGGCATGGGTGCGAAGGAGAATGTTGGTTAACAGATGATAGACATTGCTACCCACACCCCACATAGTGGACAGTCAGGCGACAAAATTTATTTTCGAGATCTGAGTCAATATCATAGCTAGCATTGAAGCTACTACGGTGCGGCATTTAAGTACATCCTAGGTACTGCTGGATAGTGAGTATCTATTAAGCAGCAGATACCGCAAAGTATGTAAAATAGGTGAAAATAATTAATAGGACCATGTAAGTAAAATATATGTTTTAAATCGAGGATCTAGTTATATTCATTAGTTGTTATATAGTTATACAGTGTTACATATTTACTGTATATTACAGGACATTGGGATTAGGTGGATGTGGGTGTGGGTATGGATCTTCTCTTCAACAGAACCCGCACCGACATCCGCACCCTAGTTTAGGGTGCGTGTGAGTGTTGGTGTGAGTGGGTGTGGGCGTGAGTCCAGCTAATAATTATGCTCACACCCCGCATCCACACTCACACCTACATCCATCCACACCCACACACACACTCACACCCCAAACTCACCCTACCTCTATAATGAAAGATTCTATGTCTTCTATTATCTTTAAGCTGATATATGTTTTGGAAAGATCTTCTATTAGATTTCTCTTTTTTGATTATAAAGAATAAAAAAAATGTTTGCTTGAAGGATTTGAAAGGATCTTTTGACAAATAAAAAGTTGTAGAAATTATTTTAGCTTTAGACTTCATTGATTTTCGTCAGAGAATCCTAAAACCCAAACATATTGTTGATTTATTATATAACTTAAATTACAATTTTCAAATTAATTAAATACTTAAGGAAGAATCTTTTGCTATATCAAAGGTATCACTTATTCAGATGACCTTCTATTAATACATTCGACACGATGGTTTCCACCAGTGGGACCCACTATAGTGTACAATGGATAGCCAGCCATAAAACCAAAAGGTTCTCAGAAAATTTTTTCGTCTGTCAAAGTTTGTCAAACATTCGTTGCTGATCATTATGATAAAAAGATCTTTTAAATTTGATAAATAAATGACGGCGCTAGGATGAAAACACTGAAAAACTGAGACAGTTCTGTGTGTCAGAGCTATGATTTTTTTTCCAGTATTTTGACACTAGCAACGTCATTTTTTATCAAATTTAAAAAATCTTTTTATTAAAATGATCGGCAAAGAGAACTCTCCAAAATCTAATAGATGAAAAATTTTCTGAGATCTAGTTTTTTTTCGTGGTTGACTATTCATGGAAATTCTCAATTATATGTCTGAAATTTTGAAACTTTTGATAATTCTTTAGCACATAATCATTCTATGAACTGCTAGTTATACTGCTAAATTCCGTTTTCGACGAGTTTTCGTTTGGTATAAAATGCAATGTTTTATCATTTGTATTTGGACCTGTACCCTTGGAAAAATATTATTTGCTACCCCGTAGAATCAAATCGCGTTCAATGTGTGAAGATTATATCTGGAATAGAAAATATGATTATAGATAACATTTAGACGAGTTGATATCATCAATATACCTTTTATCAATGTCTTTCTTTCATACATTAAAAAGAAAAATAAATCGACCGTCAATAATCTTCATTTGTCATTTTATCTTCTCGTCAATATTGTTCATAGACTCATTATGGTAGAGAGTATATAAGACATTGTTTAGCAATTATTCTCTCATTTCATATATTCTTTAGACAAGAGTAAACTAAATCGTGTGATTAATATCATTATTTATTTCTATTATATCTACCAATCAATATGCATACTCATTTGGAAGATTTATCAAATGAGATATTCTTCGAAATACTTGATTATTTACATGCATTTGATATTTTTATTGGTTTTACTTCATTGAATCAACGAATTTCATCTATTTTGCAATTCATTCCACTTCATATTATTATTTCACATGATTATTGTCATCGTCAAATTGATTTTCTTTCTTTACATCTTACTTTTCATGCTCATCAAGTTATTTCATTAAAAATTCATGATATAATTAGTGATTATTCATCTGTTATTACTTTATTATTTAATCAACACAATTTTGTTAATCTTCAATCATGTATATTTACTTCAATTGGTTCATCAACAAAACTTGAAAATATTTTTAAAAAAATTGAAAGTTTAAATAAACTTGTTACATTTACTCTTTTTGATCCATATCTTAATCTAAATGAAAAAGATAAATGTAATTTAACTCGAATGATGTTAATGCATAAATCATCTTCCCTTCGTTCAATGGTACTTAAACATAGTTATGATTATGCCGATATATCAAATTATACTTCAATATCTTCAAATCTTACATCACTTCATTTACGTATACATGGTACACTTTCAACTGTATCGATTCATTCAGTTTTATTAATATTTCGTCTTTGTCATGGAATTCGACATTTAGGCTTAATACTAGAACACAAATTTTTAGTTCAAAATAATGATGTCAAGTAAGTTTCTAAGTAGTAGATATTTTCGATAATAAATCTCTAAAAGGATAATGATTAAAAATGAAAATGAAATGTTTGTTTTTTTTTTTGTTTTAGTGTTTCAAATTCAACAATATCTCTTAATGATACTGACTATCCAATATTACCAAAATTGATATCTTTCAATTTAGCAGTTTTTCTTATATATGATATTTATGCAATTGCTTATATGTTACGTTGTATGCCTAATCTTAATCGTTTTAATTTTTTTCTTGTGGCACAAATGAGAGGATTGCTATATTATTGTGGATTGTTTAATGGTTATGTGTGGGAAGATATATTAAAACGTTATGCTCCATGTTTATCTACATTTGAATTTCAAATATCAATTCAGAAAAACTTATCAAATTTACAATTAGACTACATCGTCAATTCATTTCAATATTTTGTTAGAAAATATCCTAATTGGAATATGACTATTGGTCGATGGAGACTTGCTAGTGAAATTCCAGGTAAACAAAATTGATTTAACTTGTTTAAAATAATGAAGGATGAGAATTACATCTTATTGAAAAACGAAGTTTTTTGATTGAAAAAGAGGAATTTAAGTGAGTTCTGATTATCTTAATAATAGATCTATGCAAAAAGTTTCTATGATTTCATCAAAATTAAAAGTGAGATTAATATTTATTTTCTTTTCGATTTACAAATCTTTAGTGAAAGTTTAAACTAAATTCATATAATTATAGCATTCACATATCATAAGTAAATGATAAATAAACAAGTTAATATTTTGAAAAGAAAAGAATTTCGTTCATATTTATAAATATTTTTTCTTTTTGTTCTTTTTTAGAAGAATTTGTCATGTTGAAGACACTTAATTATGATAAACATAAACCAAATGTTAAGATGTTGATTCATAATATTAGTTCTCACTCATATGAAACACGATCGACAACACCAATAAATGATCGTCATCTTTTTTATTCAAATATAACAGATCCAACAATATGCATGACAAATACAAAACCAACGTTTACTTGGTCTTTATATAAAAAAATTAGTGATTTCTTCGTGCAAATGCCAATAATACCTTCTTATGACATCTTCATCAATAACTGTTCATCGTTGTTTTATTCTATCATGTTAGCTTTCTTTTTTCTTTTCTTTTGTTCGTTGATGATATATATGTACATGTTTGTGATATTAAAGTTACTTGATTAAAGAGAATAAATAAAAACAACAAATTGTGTTTTTCTAAATATGAACTTGATGCGTCTTTAAAAAGAACATAACAGTAGTCATTTAAGAGTAAGAGGGTCTGACAAAATACCAACCATGTCGGCTATGGGAAATTTTAAGATTTTAAATTTAAATATCTCATTCGAAAATGCACAAAAAGTTATTATGAGAAATCAAAGAATATTCCATTCTGACTTGCCTATGAAAATTGGCGAAGACCACAATTCTTCAAATTTTTGGATCATGATCTTAAAGTCGACTTTTGCCATTCTAGTCGTATTTTGCAATTTTTTCTTCCATTGTTTGACGATTTGAGTTGAGAAATGTCTTAGATGATAAAGAATTTCTTTCTCTACAAAATTGATCTATTCTATTAATTTTTGAATGGTATTTTTTATGAGAAAGGGATCAAACTTGAAAAACTAAGGATACAATTTTGCTTATCAATTTTTAATATCATGGACGAAAGTATTACCAAAGTAAGAGCTCTCATCCTGGATTTTTTAAATGTTTTAGCTCTGGTCATGGTGCAT